ATCAACTGAGAGTTTTCGAATCAAAAGACTTAATCCTGAAATATTTTTCATAATTGCTTGATTTGAATTTAAATCAAATTTGGCTTTTTCATTCACTCTTGCAAATACCAATTTGATTGAAGAACCCCACAATTGAAAATAAAATAAAAAACAATAAACACATAACAAAAATATCAATTTCTATACTTCAAAAAAACCATCATCATAAATTTATATTGGATCTCATCTAGAACAGATATAGATGATAAATCAAAAATCTCTAAAGTCTTTGTTGTAATGAAACAATCTCAAAATATATTCCAAAAATTGTAAAGTCTTTCTTACATCTAAAACAGTGCTTGACTAATTCCATATCCAAACCAACTAATCAAACTATCAGAATCCACTTCATTTCTACCTGTTATCATTTTAGCCAATCAAAAATCAGTTCAACCTCTGATTTTCAATTTCAATTCACTTGAGTATTTTGAATTTTGAACCAATGTTTCAAATACCAAACTTATCTTTTGATTTGAATTTGTATTTGTTGACATGAAATTTTGATTTGAGATTGTTGGTTTTTAGGTAAATCAGTTGCATCTATCAAACAATGACCCTGCTCCGGCTGGACACATTCCTCTTCTTTCTCATTTTGCAATTCCGAATGTCAAGTTGACCTGTAATAGGTGAGATGACCATTCAGGGAGTTGGTGATCGATTTGGTGATCGATTTGGTGATTGATTTCATGTGACCACTAAGAATGAAATGGCTAAACTCATGCATAAGAAAGACCTGCGCGAGTAGAAGTGAAACATCAGTCATGTTCATTGAGATCAAATCAAGTCAATCATAAATCATCAGATTATCAATCACCATCATTGGAACAGCAAGATCTTTTGCCAAATGTAACAAATCATCATTATACCAATAAACAATATCCTCAACTGTTTTCATGATCTGAAGCGAAGACAGGACCACCTAAAAGTCCACCCAAGACTCGTCCATTCCGTTCGGGCAAGTTTACTTAGACTTGCGCATATTTAAGATGGTTGTTATATGTGACTAATCCACATATACCACCCTCGCTCTACCTCGGCGTATTCACATACGCTTTGGTTGAGCTTGTTCGGGATGGCGGGCCGCCGGCCGGCCAGATTTGCGTGGGTTGGAAAACTTTCCTCCCAACGCAAACCCGGATGCCGTTTGTTTTGGGTACTGTGTGAGCTACGGGCTCGTTGGGGTTACTCCCCAAACTCCCATCTGCCGTCGCTTCCAGCGAGACTCGGCATGGCGAGTTGCCCCTAACTCGTTGGGAGCTACGGTACCCCAAACTCTTGCTCATTTCTCTCTAGGACGAGAAGAACTTCATGGAGTGTTTTCATCAGAACTAGATAAATTGAATAAACCGTATGCAATGAATTGTTTAAACCGTGAATCCCTACACTTCTTCACATGTTCCGTAGCCACCTGTACGTCTTCTGCGGGTCAGGTCGCCTATCCATCATCTAAGTTTCCAGGAGGCTTGCAGATCTGCTGTATCGGATGTATCGGCTTTTAACTTCGCTCAGCGTGATGAAAACCTTAAGTCAGTTCATGCCATTCTTCCCGTCTCGACGCTTGGTGGGTGCACAGCGTAATACATACCTGGGTAACTACTTGTTCCGCTTGTCTATCAACCACAGTATGTCTTTTGTTTCCCTCAGTTCCTTCGCCGTGTATCTCTTTAGGTACACTTCTACGGCTTTTGACTTCCATCGACCAAGCTTCATGATCTTCTCGACTTCCCAGCCCAAGTTCCACCGCAATGAAGCACCGCCTACTCTGAACGAGTGGCCGGACCACCCCCCCACTCTCTCATCCCTTTCTTTCCAACGTTGCTCCAGGCTGTCGACGAAAAGTCTACGGGATAGGGGTACCCTCGACTTTCCCGTACCGAAACCGAACAGGGAATCAGTTGGCCTGTGGGAAGGGTTCCTTTCGACCAGTCTCTCGAGAGCTGCTACCGGGTCCAGGATTGACGGTTGTGCTGCTAGTCTGATTATCTGTACGTCACCTGGGTTAGCCGTTTTTGCCCGCCACAGCGTCAGCACTGCATTCTTCTTCTCCCCGGTGCCTTCAAAGTGTAAGTCCTCAAAGGTTAACATTCCTTCCCCTCTAGTTTGTCTGGTGATTTCCCCTAGTCTCATCATACCCCAGAATGCTACTAGGGCAGCCGTTACGATCACTTCTTCTACGTCTGACCCCCCTGCCAGATCGCATACCAGACCGGTGAGTTCGTGTATCATTATCGGGGTCTTCTCCCCTGCGCGAATGCCGGGTTCCTCCTTTTTAGCTAGCGTTTCTTGCTCTTCGGCTTGCTCGGTGGCTCGTATCAAGGCATCGACTACACGCTGGTCGAGATCTGGAGGTGTCAAATTCGTCGCCATTTGCCACGCCCTTAGGCCGGCCAGGTATTTCACAATAGTTTTTGATTTTAGAATTTTCCGTGCTGATGACTCTTTCTCTACTTCCGATCTACCTGCCCACACAATGAAACCGTATACATCGATCAACTTTACTGGGATTGCGTTGTCCCAGTCTTTTCCCGCATCCTCAATGTACTCCTTAAACTTCGCAACCGCGCTACTGTAGCCGTTTAGAGTAGACTTCACCCACGCTCCGCCTACCATGTGGTTTGCCACCCGCCTAGTCTCAGCGTCTTCGATCTCGTTCACGGCTTGCTCGAAGTTTGGCCTTCTGGTGCTGGTGCGTTTGTTACTCGGCATTTCGGTATACTAGAAGGTTCTAAAAATTCTTGGATGTCTGTAGGTAACTTGACTTGTAAACGATCGATGTCTTCTCTGTCGGTTCTTATTCCCCTGGACAATGCGTCTGCTTTGTTCCCCCGTGAGTCTACCCATTCTTCTGCTAAGTCGCAGTCCAACTCCACTAGTCTCCGTTGTATTTTTCTCCACTCCAGATTCACTGCTACGTGTTTCGATTTCAGGTTTCGGACTACTCCCTCCGTGGTCGTGTTGTCCGTCAGGAACCTCAGTCGCCTTCCTTTTACGTCGTGTTTCTTTGCGACCATTTCGAGACCTAGTCGTACCGCGACTGTCTCGGCCCAAGCGATGTCCCGCTTAATGCCTAAAGCATCTGGTATGTCCCAGTTTGGTTTTAACTTCCACTGAGCCCAGCTCTCGCCCACCAGGACGCCAATCCCGTGTGAGACTGCCGCGTCGCCTACCCATTTTACGTCCAGAATTTCCTTCTTGGGTAGTAACTTGTGGTTTTTAAAATCTTTTAGGACCCGTTTCCAGTCCCACAAGTCCTCCTTTACGTTGTCCGGCATTGCTCTCGGTGCCTTCTGGTTCACCCACTTCGCCATCCAGTTGTGGATGTTAGGTGTGAAGCACTTCATTTGGGGGAGCATATTCGTAAGGTGATGCAGTCTGCCGGACAATTTTTCCACTTCTTGGTAAGTGAAAGGTCTGGTTTGGTTTAACGCTTCATCCACCTGGATTTTCCTCATCTGCAATTTCTCCTCTGGTAGCCGTACTGATTTTTCTCTACCGTTCCAAATGAAACCAATATATTTTTGTTCAGTGGCGAATTCGGAGTATTTCCCCTTGTTCGTCTTCACGCCCAAAGATGCGCTTCTTTCGACTACGTCTTCCATGGAAGTGTTATTCATCTCTTCTTTTCGTTTAATGAATCGGTTGTCGTCTACCCAACAAAAAACCGCGCTGAAACCAAACTCTGCCTTCATCATCTCTTTCCAGGCGTCCGCCGGACCGCCGAAACTTCCACAACCTGCGACACCGCCGAAGGATACCCTGGTGTCCAGTATTATCATTCCGTCCTCTGTCCGAATCGCAAGAAACCTCCATTGGCTTGGGTGAGTTGGGATTTGGCGATAAGCCTTTTCCCAATCAAAGATCCCTAAATCCGATTCTCCTTCCGTTTCTACGAAGAACGTCGCCACTCGTGCAAAATCATCCCATGACGTTTTGAATTTGTTTTTATCGACGAAAGAGTTTACGGATGGTATGCTGCCGTCGTACTTTGGAAACGACAAATCGTTTATTACTCTCTTTGATCCGTCACCGTTCGTGACAACCCCCATTGGGCTCGTCCGAAAAAACCCCAGATATTCTTTTGCTTCTTCTATCGTGAAAGGTCCGCGCATTCTACCGGAGTCCAGTTCCTTCTGCAGTTTCTCCGCTATGATACTATTTCCGGCGATTGTCCTTTCGTGGTTTGGCGGTGAGTGGTATTCTAGTTCTCCCGAGGAGTGTTCTGGTATTCCCTGGTGGAAACCTTCCTGGAAACCAATCAGTATTTTCTGGTGCTTCTCTAGGAGGTTGTGTTTTCGTAGCATCTTCTCCCAGGCCTCTAAATCCATCTCGCATGTCACCTTTACCGGCCACGTTTTATTTGGTCTGTACCTGTGGTTCTTCGGCTTTGCTCCTGGGTTCTCCCTCTCTACTGGGCTTCCCGCTGGGTGTGCCGCTAAAGGAGGGAAAGGGGTGTTCCCCTCTTGGTCAGTTTCTATTCCGACCGCGTGGATATGGACCGTCCAACATCAGCTTACTTTGTGTCTGGTTGCTTCCCGGACCTAACGTTTCGCGATCCGTGCTTTCGGCACGAGCGTAGTCCCTCGCTTTCGGCAGATCTCGCTTCGCTCCTTTCGGGCTTTTTTCCTTTCCGAATTGTCTTTCTTCGTCGCAGGCCAGCGGACTCTGCTGCCTGCTATTTCCCGCAAAGGTTTGCGAGTTTTCAAAAGGGAAATGTGGTATGGGTTTTTGTCAACATGGGTAACCTTTTCTGCATTCTCATTTCATACTTGGTTCGATTTAACGGAACCAGGGTTTCACGGATAGCAAGTGGCTTCTGTAAGAAGGCAACGGGAGAAATTGGGGGGGGGCACCAAGAACTCGAGTCATTTAAAATTTAAATGCGAGGGGTACGGGTTCATTAGACTTGTCACTTCATTTCACGCTAAACCGCTATTCAATTTCAAAGGGAGCTATGAAATGTTTCATCTGACGGGAGAAACTACGGCGTATACATGCTGCACGAGTTTGTCCTTTTTACCCAATTCCCCCTTCTCCTCCTTATTCCTCTGTCGGAGTCCCGTATTCACTCTTCCTGCCCGTTCACAGGTGCTCGGGGATCTGGGGTGCATTCACAAACAGAGAATGTGGATGGAGTCAGGGTGGGACAAAGGAAGGGCTTTGGGACTCATGGGTTGTAATAACAGGGAGGTGAAGATAGAATTGTGATAACGAAAAAGGTGAAGATAGGATGATTCGGAAATGTTCATTGAAACTATTGGCTTACCATTTGTTTCCGTTGTTTCTGTGCACTATTGCTAATGCGCCGCTCTGGTTTCCGCTTCCGTTCACTGCTGGTTTAGCTATGATTGCCAATTGATTGCTCGGCTCGCTGGGACCTGCCCCCGCGCCACCTTGAATGAAGTTTTGGTTCGTGCCATGCGTGTACGGGTACGGTTGATAGGCGTGATACGGATTATAAGGTACACTGTGCTGTTGGCTAGGGTACTGGGGGAAGGTTCTGTGGTCTCTACCGAAGGAGTTCCCGTGGTTGGCGTGGTGATTGTTCCCGTTCCGCTTAAAACCCTTGTTGTTGTTCTTGGGGTACCTTTTCTTTCCGCCACCTAGGTGAGGGCTCTCGCCGTTGTTCTTCCAACCATTCTGAGACTGACTTTGGCTCTGGTTGGCGGCTGCGAATTCGCGTTTGATCAGGCTCTTTTCTTTGGTCAATGCCTGCTCGTGTGCTTCATTCACCCCGACGTAAGGATTGTCCAGGTAACTTCTCTTGCCTAACGCGTCGGCCTTGTCTTTTGCTGCACATAGGATGTCTTCGTGTATTAAACCAGCGTTCGCCATCACACGTTTCCCATCTTTAAACCGGAATTGCATGACTAACTTCCTGACTCTGATGCAGTATCTTAGTGCTATCGTCCAGCACGACGTCGATCTGCGAATGTCTATCACGTTCTGCCTGTGCTTTTTGAAATTTTCTGCGCAGGTCTTCATGTTGTAGTACTCGTCAACATATCTAATGAATAGGTCCATATTGTCTAGCCAATCGCCGTACGTCAAAAGAAGTTCGTCCTTAGGGGTCAGACCGGAGTATTGCATTGAATCATCTCCCTCTTGTAGCTCTTTGACTGTTTTCACCTTCCTCTGACTCGCTTTCTCTGCATCTTTATCTATCCAGTCGATGTTGAATACGGTCAGAGGCACGAACGCTTTCAGTTTGGTCATCTTTGTGTGAAAACAGTGCGACAACTTTAGTAAACTGTTGTTTGGCAGTTGCTGGTCGTCTACAAAGGTGATTTTGTCTTCGGGGTTTGCTAAGTCGTCGCTTTCTTTGGCCGTCGCCTTCTCGGCTTTCTTTTGGGTTTGCTGGGGCTCCGGTGTAGGTCTAGTCACCTGTTCCGCCATTGGCGTTCGCCTTGTTGCAGGGTCGCTCAACTCGGTATGAGTCTTCTTTGACGTTAGAGATTTGGCCGGTTCGTCTCTGACCGATTCTCCGTCTGCAATTAGAGAAGCCGTTCTTGGCCATCGTAAAGTGACCCGAGGGGCTTCTCGTATGATTGTCCTCCCTCTGGGTACTTCTGCCTCCGGCTCGTACGGTACGTATCCGTATGTCGCTCGGAACGCGTTCAGCATTGTACGGCCTAGCAGGACGTCGTTTCTATCGAATGCGTCTACTATCGTGGTCCACCATTGGTCTCGGCTCTCTATGTGTGAGTCTAGGTGACGTGTAATGACAAAGGAAACGGGTTACGATCAGCGTCCAATACACCACGGCTCTTTCTCCGCCTGTCTTTGGATTTACGCTTTGCGGTGGTGTTCATTGTCGTGAGGTGCGGGGATGTGGTGTGAGATGCGGGGATCTGGTGGTGAGGACTGTCCTAACAGGACTCTTTGTCTTCCCCTGGGTGTAAGATGCATTCTGACATTCTGCTTTGTCTTATGGCTCCCTCTAATAATGATATATCGCTGTGGCGAAAACTTTTTCATGGATATAGCTCACCTGTGTGTTACAGATCCCACGATGAAACATCGTGACATCTGTGTGAAATGCTACGGTGTCGTACCGTAGTCTGCTGCACAGACCTGCCAGCACTCTGGAATAGCTGACTTGTCATCTGAATTCAGACAAGTCACCCTTTCACCCATCCTCACCCACCCAGTACACACGCACTACATACCAATTCCCACCTGCAGATTAGACAAGTCACAGTTTCACCCATTCACCCATCCCCACCCACCAACTACACAGCAGCTACATACCAAATTCCCACTCTCTGGCAAAATCTCAATATCCGATAAGTCACACTTTCACACACACAAGCCCACTACACACTCCAGATTCCCACATGTGGGACACACCACACCCGTCCAAAATCTGACTTTCAGACAAGTCAAAATTCTCACAGTCAGAACCCACTACCCATTGTCTATGACTCACAACCCATAAAAACAAAGATCGAACCGATAATGACCAAAAATGATATGTTTTGAACAAACAAATATCCAACATCCATCAATGATAAAAGGTGTACAAACCTTGAGGCTTTCGCTCTGGTCGATCTCGCGCAAAGCAACACTATATCCATACATAGACAATGAATATGAACTTTTGGTCATTTGGACCTCGAGATAAGCACCAACCTATGCCTCGCCCCCACATACCAATAGCATGAGCACAAATACATGAGATACTCGCGTGAAACGTTCTTAATCAAAGGACAGTTTCACACATTCACAAATGGGTGAACGCACAGATTCCCACCTGTGGGAAAACATGTCACACAATCGTTCACTCAATGACTCCGGGCAAGCACCACAAAATACCACATCCTCATGGTACTAAAAATCTCATCAAGTGACAAATAACACCAATCGATTTTTTTCATTGTTTAGAAAAAGTATTACAACAATCGGACCTAAAACAAAGTAACTTCCGCATTTGAAAGTCTATCCTGACTATCCTGAGCAACCCCAGTGTCCAAACCAACTGCCATCACTCCTTCCCCAACGCCTTGAGTACCACTAGCCCCAGCAACAATCTCTTGAGTCGAGACAATCACTTGAGTCACACTAGCCCCAGTTGCAATGTCCTGAATAGCACTTGCCCCAGTCAACCTAACCCTGAACTTACCACTATCAATGTCGCTTATCCAGTTACGTCGGCCCTTCGCATCCATCCCATTAAAGCCCTTCTGAAACTCCACCTTTGTCATCAAAGAATCCGCTGCACGTTCCACTTCCACGTTGCGGGCCTTCAAGACAGCAGTTGGGTCGGGAACACGTGGGAATATCTTACTCTTACTTGTACTAGGAACATCAACAAGGAGTTTATCTGAAAATGCACATCAAAGTCAGCTTATTTTTCAAGAGACACGAACAGGAAGCAGACACATACCCAACAAGCCATTTAACTTCACACCGAGAGTTTTCTTATCAATGTCGGATTGATTATTTGAGACCTTGTGAGTTGTTGCCGGTGGATTGTTCGAAGTCACAACTGATTGAATTTCTTTGAATGTGTTTCCGTTTTGACAATAAAGCGGAAACACATGTTGTAGGTCAGCCTTTGTGGAAACCCACTGGGACATCTCATCCCTAGAGGTGTACTCTTGACACCAACCACCACCTGACGAACTATTGCTACAAGCAATGATATAATAGTCGAGTCCAAAAAGTTGGTGGTCGCGTGCAAGCTGCAAGAAAACCACTTCAACATCAGATGTTTCTGGCCCGAGATAACAAAACCAGAGCAACTTACTTGTTGCGCTATCTTCTTCATACACTGAAGTGACCGCTTCTCCTCCTTATGAGCAGATGCGGCTGGTGTATTCAGCTCCCGATCCCGGGCCACTTTCTTCAAGTCAACCAGGTCTTCATATATCGGCCAATATCGAAGCTCTTCCTCTCAGCTGAGTTTAGGTACCTCGGGGACCAGAATGGTGCTGTCGCCAAATACGTTAGAGTCTTCCGTGATGGTGACGGCCGAGTAATCGGGGTAACCTCCTAGAGCGTAGAACACATTCGAAGTGAACACAGCATACTTGTCATCGTCCAGGGCTTGATAAGCGTCTGAATTGGCGGTGTTGCGTCGGGATAGGATCTTGGCAGCAAATGGGTCCCCTCGTTGAGGCACTAGAATCACAAAAAAAGGCATTCTGGTTAGCTTATGACATTGTATATCACTTCAACCGACTTGACGCACTAGGATGTTTATTTGCATCAATCGCAAAGCTTAACCAGCGATGCCAAGGGTTCTCTCCGTGTGTTCCACCCAACAAACCTCTAAAATAACCAACTGAGGTTAGCGTAGGTCATTCAACAACATCTATAAGGTCTGAATAAACATACAGTGATCTTTTCAATTTGGTGATGCCAACGCCTGAGACCATTGCAATCATATGTAGAGTGTGATTCAGGCTTTCCAGAACCGCCTGTCCCTCTGCGATGACCGCGGCACTTATTTGATGATTAGACGAGCGTTGCCGAGCTAATTGAGCTTCAATACAAGCAAGAGGCCAAAATTTCTTGTAATGATGATAGTTTTGCAATGTGATCTCCGATAAGTTGACTTCTTCGGTGGCATGGGTAGCAGAAGGGGTTTGAAAGTGATTCGTGCCAGGTTGAGGGGCGTCAGGACCCTGAGTAACAACAGTGACTGGATCCACCACCTGGCGAGGTCGTTTACCAGACCGAGCTATGGTCAATGAAGTCCGGTGTTTCCTATTCGTTCGAGTCGAACGTGTTACCCTTCGGTTTGGTGAAAGCATTGGTATGAAATGGAAAAACGCTAGATGTTTGATCAAAAGTAATTTGTTGGTTTATGAGCACAGAGGTGAGACAAAATCCGCTCCCCCTTGAACAGTGTTTCCAAAACACTACTAAGCTGTCACATGTGCTACAGGAATAAAACATGACTTAGTCACGTGGCTGCTTTACAGTCACATGTTACCTTACAGTAACAAAACTATACTGTACGTACAAAATTGTTACATAATCCATCATATTGTATTTGAAATGTGGAGTCATGCACGTCACATACCTAATTCATCCCGACATCTTGGTAAGTTATCAATCAACTGTACCAGACACTACAGCGTTAGTGTCTTCTTCCTGTGAATCACCCTTCAGGACACACAGGTACGAGGTTATGCATTCTAGGCTGGATTACATAATTTCTGAACCGACAAAAGTCGATTTGTTTAGTATTGAACTAACAAATTAATTCTTTATGTGATTTACCATGATATTTCGACTTATAAACTAAAGTCAATTATGCCATGGTATCCCAAGAAAATGGGGTACCTACATCTCTTTTGCAACAAACCAGCGCAGGGTCCCAACCCCCAAGGATTGGACACCAGAGGCTCCTGCGCATCATATTGTCAGCCATTGAAAATTTTTCTATCATCACCTGTTAAGTTTATGATTTTTTCGCATATCTTCAATCATCACCAAATCATTCATTTCGTGCCATAATCATACCTTCCCTTTTCTGATCATTTAATAAATTTCATTTATTACGTTTATTACATTTACCATTTTTTTTATTATGGGAAAATCAGGTCGTATAATACCAATTCCTGGATCCTCCACACGTTCCAAACGCAAGGTGCCTCCAAACACCGAAGCCACTCGCCTGAAAGCAGAACTTGACGAGGCTAAGATCGCTTATAGCAAGAAAAGGCTTGACGAAATTAGTGATGCGCTCAACAATACCCCTCCTACCAATCCTGATCCCTCGGACGTGCAACCACCCGAACCCGATAATCAGGCAATATTTGACCCAGACCCAATTGCCGAAGCAATCGAAGACCCCGTTGGTCTAGATGCTCGCCCTATTAATTTAACACAATTGATCACAGCGGATACATACAAGCACCAGCGGCTGCGAGAGGATGCGCAGTGGAAGATGATCATGCAAAGTGTTTTCGTAGCTTTCATGCATGGAACACAGCGCACTTCCCAGTGGGGAAACACAGACAATTGGAATTTCGACTTTAATGACCCGAGGTTGTGCTCATGCGCTGAAGGACAGAAACATACTCGAGCAGTTGATACTTTGGATATACTGTGTAAGTTTTTTACTGGATTTCGATGCAGTAAATAAGCCTTATATATTTTCGTTTTCAGATCGTCGCAAGCAGAAGGTTCAATTCTGCTCCTGCACCCCCGATCAAGTTCGGTTAATCAACCTAGGATATTTGGGAGGTACACCAACAAGGCCCGAAACCGCGTTCTCATTACGTCTACTTTGAATGTATCACTTGGCATGGCAGTATTGCCATTCCAATATACAACCGTTTTCTTTGATGATCGACGCATACCTGGATGCATATAACCCTCCTATACTGGTTTCTGGAACTCACGAGGTGCGATAATTCAGAACGATGAAATGAAAAAATTGCTGAGGACTCATTACGTCCTTCATTTAATCGTGACTTGTAGCCTCGACTCTGGCGTCAACCTCTCACTGGCGCGGTGACTTGCTATCGACAAATCATGAAGGCATTAGAAGAGCTTGAGACTCGTAGTCTCAAGCTGACACCTTTAAAGAAGCTCGCAGCTAACTGTCCCCGGTGTTTCGGTCCGGCTACTGCGACCGGAATCCAAAGTGGACCACAATATGTGGTCTGTGTTGACGGTAACTTCCAACAGCGCCGTCATGAGACGGCTAGTCAACAATTTGCCGAAATTCCGATTTCAATGCCGTCTTTGTTCATGAACCCACAGGCAGTTGCAGAATGGGAGCCTAAGCCGACTGGAAGAAAGGCTAGGATTGAGGTGGATCTGGTACGTGATTATATAAACATTACTCATTTCCCATCCGCATATACACTTACCACAATCACTTTTCACAGGACCCGTGTTCACAACAACACACGGCTGCAGCAGACAAGCGTAGCGCGTCCAGCTGGCGAGGATGCGAAGAGACAGGCCTTATAGGCATGGCATGTCGGCATGATCACATGCTGAAGTTAGTAAATGTGGTACGAAGTGGTGAAAAGTTAGCACAACTGTCTCTGTGCAGATTACAAACCCAGGCTGATCGGTTTATATCTAACTGTGCACATATAGGGCACATTTCGTCCATGCCTTGCTTGGGGAGCTATTCACATGCATACTCGAAGGATATACGGAAGCGGTAAAGGCGGGTGTTGCTTTGTTGTATGACATTGGTTGTACCATGGAAAAAGGGGTCATCAAGGTCAGTTGGTTGCCTCTTTCACGATATCGCCCTGATTTCGACTCTTCACATGTTTGCTCTTATGTTTGTTCGATAAGAACAACCTCTTTGCTGAAGAACGAGACACAGATTGTTTGACCTTTGGAACCAGTGCTTTCCATGCCTACGTACATCGGTGGAGCTGTCAACTCCAATACAACCCACGTCTCAATGCTCGTTTTGGCCTATCAGACGGAGAGGGCTTGGAACGCGCATGGTTCAAGATATCCCCGCTGATTTTTCCTCTTCGGGGAGCTGGCTCTCAGTTTCGAATAGATGCGTTGCATCTGAAATTACAGCACAACAACGCTCTATCTCGCGTGCAAGCAGGTATTAGAACAATTTGATTGATCAATCAGGTCGAATGTGTTTTTTCATTGATGTTCCTTTCCCTGTTCCGTTACATTTCCCTTTTGCAATAGCTAAGTCGGCCTTTCATAAGCTTAAGGTGGCCGAGAAGAAGGCCAATGAGGCTCGGATGGTTCTTTTTGATTTGGAAAGAACCCTAGGACTCACAGCCGAATATCTGGGTGCGCAATGGGAACGACAGCGACAATGCCAAGCCGACATCATGGGAGACCATCGGGCTCAAGAAGTATCCCTTCAACTCTGCCGTCTCATCGAGCTTGAAGAAGACTTCCAAGAAGCGCAGTAAGTGTTCATACTTATTTTCTCATTTGACCCCCGCACAAGCAATTAAAGGGCCTGTCCTCATATCTTGTTGTCACCATTATTAGCAAAAACCTTAGGAAGCTGCGTCGGAAAAGACGACGTGATCTGTCACAAGAAGAGCACGATTCTCTGCGACGTCTTCCATCCACACTGGTCGAACTGGAAAAGGCCATTTTAGACGTGGCTGAAGACCTAGGTGGCGACGCTTTTCGTGATATGCCTGAGGTTTCAGGTAAGTACATACTTGCATTGCTGTTCCCACTTACCACATGCTGATGTTGACTTATCAGATCCCCATGCACGCCTCATAATGCGCATTCGAATATCAAAAGAAAATCTATATGAAGCTTATGTCGGGAAGATCGAGTGGCAAAAGAAGTGGAGTCAACCTGGACTAGGTGAGAGTGATATGGCTGAAGTCGCTTACCATCTTGGTATGATTGTAATTGACCAAGTATGCATTAGGCACTGCCGAACAAGGCAGATACAAAAGTGTCATGGAAAAGCGAAACAAGGCATTGGCGCAGAAGTATTCTACTTACGAGTCTCAAGTAGAAACTTATCATCTAGATTACCCAGATTCCCCACAATTAGCACTACCAACATTCGACGAGGTGAAGTCCATGGACATCGCCAACGCGTTTTGGAACATTGGACATCTCACCCATCCTGACGAGCCCTGGGCGGTCAATGCATCTATTCAAGTGGGAATTCAGGCTTTTCGAACAGCACGAAGCTGTGCTGAAGAACTGGAGAGGATCGCATGTGAGGTTCAACACATGATGCGGGCTGCATTACAAACGGAGGAAAAGCTGGCGAACCTTTACACATTAAGTCAAATTTGTGCGTATATCATCGTATTAGATCGAATTCTCTCAATGTAATAATGCCCTCTCACACTGGCACCGGTCTGCCTGTAGCATGGGTCAATGGCGGACCTGAAGAACAACAACCTTTACAGTTGGTTTTGCGAAACGCAGTGGTTTCAAGGGTTAATTGGGATGCATGCCAATTAACCTTGCAGGCCCTGCACACTTGCCTGCAAAAGGATAATTGCCGCACTTGGATGGTGTGGCACACCCACCTTCCAAATCTAATGCAATTGACCTCACATTATTCGAATGAGTCTCCTCAGGCTATCAACATCCTGGGTGCTGCTTGGAAAGCTTTGATCATGCGGTGTAGTGGCCTTTGGGAGAGAATTTTGAATGGGCCATCCGTCGAAGCCCAGCAGCTGGACGAATTCGAACTGATGGAACAAGATCTGTTGTTCCATGAAGAGGAGATCATGCGGAACAACATCGACCTTCTTGAAGAGGATATGCGAGATAACCTGTTCCTAATTGACGATGAGGAACATTTGGATGAGGAGATACGGATTACTTGATGATTACTTGATATTAGGTGGAACATATGATAGAAACAATGTAGGACTTCTTGATGGCACTCTGAAAGAAACTGTTACATAAAAATTTCGAGGTTGTTGTGAAAGACGTCAAATGTCCCATAAGTCTTAATTGCAATGGATGCATCAACTACATTGATATGGGGTCTTACACACACATATACCAGACACAGTCAGTGTCTGGCATACGAGATACCTGTAACTGTGCCACGCTGTGAGCGCCCAAGTTTCCCATCTACATATGTTTTGGTTCTTCAACCTTCCCTTAAGATGGTTGTGCTGATGTTAAGAGCTGGTCAGATCCCAGCTTGACAAACATTAAGGCACCACTATGGTACATTAAGAACCAATGGATTTCCACTTGGATGTAATTGGATAGCATATTCAATCCCCTATCTGAAAGGTCATACCTGCAAGGAGCAACCCTCTGTACTGAAAGATGTGAGACTTGCACAAAGTGGTAGGAACTCATAGCTTGATGACACCCTCAAAGATGTCTTTGACAACTTTGCTTGAGCAGACCCACGGCTATGTAAAAGTGTTTAAGTAAAAAAATAGGTGGGAAGGAGGTGTTGGATGGGAAAAGTGGTATATGAGAGTGTGGTTGAAAAGTGATTTTGTCATCTGGGGGGAGAGATAACAGGCATTTTCCCAAGTCTTCCATGAGTTATGGAGGTTTATTTTTGTTGAGCGGGAAAGTGAAGGTGGATGTTAAAGTGTTTAAGTAAAAAAATAGGTGGGAAGGAGGTGTTGGATGGCTAAAGTGTTTATAAAGACTGGGGTTGAAAAGTGATTTTGTCATCTGGGGGGAGAGATAACAGGCATTTTGCCAAGTCTTCATGAGTAATGTAGGTTTATTGTTGTTTGAGCGGGGTAGTGAAGGTGGATGTTAAAGTGTTTTAAGGAGTAAAAAAAAATTGGAAGGGAGGGTGTTGGTTTGCCAATTGTTTTATGTGGACTGTTTGTTTAAATGCAAGTCTGTTCTTCTGAAAGAGAGAGAAATAGGG